GTTGGACCAATGATCAAGAACAGTAAGGAAATCCAAAGTGGTCATCCTTGGCCTAAGTCCCACAAGGGCAGTATAGAGGGACGTGAAGAAATTTAGGATGGCATTTTCGATATCATCTGGCTAGGTAAGAAAATTGTTATCCACCTTAATTGTGGATATCAGATTCTCTCTCCTTCTACAATTGGCTATACGATGAAAGAAGGCAGTATTCTGGTCCCTTGATTTTAACCTAGGATCCCTGGTACCAAAAAAGCTCTTCTTTCTTGAGTGTAGAAAGGTATTCCAGATTGGATTGTGTTCAGACCTATACTTCAGAGTCTGAGAGGGGTCTAACTTCCTCAATTTTATCAAGGTCTTGGATACAATTGAGCCAAGAGCTTTTTAATCGAGAATAATTCCTTGGCCGAGACTGGCTCCAATTTTTTAAGGACTTTTTAAGCAGCTGGATTTTGGTATGAAGCTTGAATCCCTCTCTACCCGAGACTTGTGAAGAGAAAGAATCCCACCAATTGGGGATGAGAGTCACAAGGGACTGCTCTTCCAACCAAGCCAATTCACACAAGAAAAGGTTTTGGCCCCCTATAAATCCCTTGTGTATCAAGAAGAATGGGGCAATGATCCGAGGTAGGTTTAGGCAGGGTAAGAGCATGGGAACCAGGAAAAGCAACTTCCCAACCAAGGGACAAAAGGAAACGATCCAGTTTAGCCAGGGAGGGCTGAGCACAGTGATTGGACCAGGTGAAGGCATTCCCTTGAATTGGAATGTCTATAAGTTCATGTCGAGAGATGAAGTCAGAGAAATCCAACATTCCGTGGTAAATATTGGTGTTGAAGTTTCTCTCATGACACCATCAGGTGATATTGAAATCACCACCCAGACACCATGCAGGATGTGGTAAGGCTGCTACCAGATCCAATTCAGACCAAGGGGAAGCTGAGTTTAGACTATAAATGGCGGAGAATTTAAGCAGCGCACCGTCTGTTGTTCTGGAGAGAAGGACAGTGACCGAGAATTCTCTTATGTGGGACGAGAGGAGATTAAACTCAATTGGGTTCCAAATTACCCAAATTCCGCCAGAAGCCCCTATTGTCAGTAATGAAGCCCATTGACACGGCCTTCTGCCCCACACGCTGCGGATGGATTGCAGAGTAGGCTCCGGTTGTTTTGTCTCTGTCAAGGCAAGGATCGATGGGGAGAGTTTTAAAGAAAAGTCTCTCACCGAATCCCTTTTGGACTTCTGTCCCAACCCTCTAATATTCCAAGAGAGTATCTTCATAAGTTATGGGGAGAAGCAGGGGTGGAGGCAGTTCTGGGCAACCGCCTTGGAGTGGGGGAGGTTTGGGCAATGGTGGGAGGAGGCTTGACATCAGTAGCGATTATGTCATAATTAATAAAAGAAAAGAGGTTACGCAGTTCGTGATGTCCTTTGAGATTCACCTTGAGCCTGCTTTGGGCGTCCGCCTGCAAGAACAGATGTGTCGGGCCTTCGGGTCCATGGTGTTCAAATCACATTACCCTATAGATCTCCTTCATCCTGTCAGCTTCTCGAATGTTATCTTTCCCACCTGCTCTCTCTAGATCGCCTTCTGCCGAAAGAGAAGAAGAGGGTGCTTGGGATAATGGGTCACGAACAATCCCAAAAAATTAACTGGAGTAGGAGGACTGGCAAGGGGGATGAAAGACAGACGGCAAGGACATTGGCTCACCAAGGCTAAGACCAGGCGACAGTGCAGTGGGGAACTCAGCGATGGGGTTAACATGGGAAGGAGTAGAAGTATGTGGTGAGCCAAGAGGGTGCCCGGGGGAGGCTTCAGACTAGGTAGGGGTCCAGAAGGTGACAAGGGGAAGAGCCCAGTTGGAAACGGCATAAGGGTAAGGGTTGACAGGCAGAGATGGACGAGGGGTGTAGAATGATAAATAGTGATAAGGAAAAGGTTGGAGACCAAGGTTGAAAGTCGAAGCAAGGGAGAACTTAAAAGGGAAGAGTACTGTCGTTATCCTGCCGAGAGGGATAAGGAGAGAGGGCTGAGGAAGAAAGGGGCCAAGAAGCTCAGAGAGGTGAGAAGGGTCAGGGGGAGATGGAAGAAGGGAGTGTACCATGATGATGTCGAAAGGAAGAAGTGAAGGGTCCACTTCCATTGGCAGAAAAGAAGCAAACAGAGGGGGGCCTCTATGGGAAAAGAAGGGAAAGGGTAGGAAAGTCAGTGTAGAATAGAGGGGGACCCAGGGTGACAAGAGAAAGTGGGTCTGGCTTTCTCGTCTTTGGTGTAGACATCCTCTGAGAGGCACAGAGAGGACCTGCACGGAGAACTGGATAGGATGGAAGCTTGCAACTCCTCGCTCGTGGAGATCGGTGAGCTCTAAGCGGGGGTAGGTTCATTGGAAGGCCTAGGTGGAATATCATGGGAGGAAAAGGTAGAGGGAGGGACGGCGTTAGGTGGACCGTCGTGGGGTGGTTGTGGCGGGAGGCCATGTGGCAGAGGGGGAGGCGAGATAATTTCTTGGGCAAAGTGCAATCATACGAGAGGACAAAAGCTGCTTCCGAAGCTATGGAAGGTGGCGAAAGGTAGCATTTGTCTCCCCATGAAAGCCTGGGACACATGGGGAAGGATGCACCTGCCGCGTGGCCACAGAGACAGGCTTCAGGGCGGCATGTGTACCTTCGTCCATTGGGGACCTCACCACGTGAAACGGATCAGCTACCGAGGCCCAAACCACAGCCCCGACTGAGGAAGACGGATCCTTTACAGAGCCCGATAGACCAGGAGAAGTTTGGAGAACAAAGTCCTCTACTACCTCCTTACCAGGTCGAGGAAGCCAGGGGACTCGATGGTAAGAGACCGTTGTGGCCAAGCCCACCGCCTTCTGAAAATGGTTCAGAGAAGGTGGACCCCACGCATGCGATCGTTGCCGACTCTTTGACTCCACCGTCCCCATCGTCCCCAGATTGCATTGGGAGGGGGTGCCCCGTGGGGTCCACTGGGAAGACTGGTAACTGGCCGGAAAGCTTGGCCGATTGTTTCTCTTGCCAGGAAAATGGTCATGGAGATTTCGGCGATGGCGCCGCTTGGCTTTGCTTGATTTCTTAGTAACGACGCCCCAAGAAAGGGGTGAAGAGATCTCCTGCAACGAGTACGGACAGCTATTTACCAGGTTAACCGAGGGGGGAGAAACCTCTGACCAGGCCAGAGAAATCAGATAGAACAGGTTATCCACTTCTATCCACACACAAGGTGGAATACTCTTAGGGTCCAGGACCTCCACTAGGTGCAGGATGGAGCCTAGCGGTAGAGTTTTCAGATATTTCCATCGAATCGAGATCAAATTTTTGCAAATTTCTGCTATTCTCCCAAAAGTTGCAAGAGACCAAGCATGGAGTGGCACATGGTGTAGCGTAAGCCAAACTTTTTGCCTTCTGAAAGATCCTTCCTGGGGGGACCAAGCAGCAAGACACAAAGATGCCCCTTTGAAAAACATAGATTTGGAGTCCTGCAAAACCTGGCAGGTATAAGCTTGTGATGAAAAGGTGAAAAGATAGTCTCCGCTAGAGAGGCGTCGAGCCGAAATATTGGTATCCTCCCAAATTTTCTGTGCCCATTTCTCAACTCCTCTAAAATCATGCCAAGAAGGGCGAAACGAGACTACTAAAAAAGACTGGAACTTTGCCTTAAGCGAGGATGACTCTTCAGAAGGGATGGAGACGAAGAAGGGACCGACCGAGGGCTGGCGGCAGAGAGAAGAGGGAGGCTCCTAAGGGCAAACCGAAGAGCCTGTAAGAGGGAGGGAGGGTGAGGAGCGTGCAACAACAAGCGTGAAGGATACAGGAGGCCCAGAAACAGTTGTCGGTAACACTCTTTGTGGTTAGCCAAGAGTTAAAGACTGTCGCACCCTTAGGGGAAGCCTTGTGTGGGGCACAGAGAGGTTTAGGGTAAAGTTTGTATATTCTATTCCAGAAAGGAGTGGCCGGGGACCAAGAAGAGTGAAGCCTGGAGGGAGTTGGTGTAGAAGGTGAAGGACGAGAGAGGGCCGGATGAGAAGGATGTCTAAGAGCAGGAAAAGGAGGTCGAAGAGGAGGAAGATGACGTCTCCTCCTCATGCTACCAAAGAGAGGTAGAGGGTTAAGTTTTAATGTTTAAAACCAGCATATTTTCAAAAGCTAGTTCATAGGCATTATTACCATCATGTTTCATGTACGTAGTGCCTATGAGCCCTGGGCTTCACAAAAAATTCATGAATTACATCACTGACTTTGTTAATATATCTCACCTTACATCTTAACCCCAAGTTCTCCAAAAAAAAATATAAATAATTTTCCTACTGATACAGTCTTTCAAAAGTATGAATCTCTAAGGGCAATCCAGGCCCTGAGAGTATCGGCATAGGTTTTCGATTGACCACAAATGATACAAATCTAAACATAAGTGGTCCAATGGGAATATGCAATGTGAGCGAAGTGAGGCAAGAACACTTCTCCAGTATGAAATATTGATAGGTAAATGGAAAACTATAGTGATGGAAGGAGATTGTCATAACTTGGGCTAAAATCAGGGCCAACCAATCTTGGTGGTTGGTGTTTTTCAGAGTAAGCTTTTGCTTGATGTAAAGATCATGATACAAATCATAGAGTTTGTGCATACTCAGGAGGAGAAACTCTCTGGTGGTCTTTGGCTAGAGAGGGTTACTCAGCCTCAAAGACTTGAGGATGAAAATTGTGTAAAGTGTATATGTTGTGTCCACAGCAACTTTGTAATCTCATACTTGTAGAAATAAAATTAGTCATTATTAAGAAAATAATAATAGCAATGAAGACGGCACTTCAATTGCTCACGATCCATGTTGTACACAAATGCTTATGTTCTCATTGCCATTGTATAATCATTAAACATAGCAACTTAAGATGCATTCATTTATGAATGTAATCACAGTCCCGATCATATTAAGTCGCTTACGAAAAAGTAAAACACCAAACCCCATCACATATGAAGCTAGAAGGACTTGCCAGATAAGGGATTTGTTGTCAAGGTCTTGCTTGGGTACATCACGGCCACGCATTGTAACCAAGTCGAGAAATATGGCTTTATTCTCACAACAAACAACAAGAAAATGTCTACCCTTTGTTGAAGACACTGGAGAACTGAAGGCAGAGGAGAGCTGATTTGTTGCAGAAGGTGCCTCGGCAGCTGCAGAACGGTTGCGCCAAAGTTGCCAAAAACGAACATCGTCATCATAAAAGCTCACCTGCTTAACACTTCATTGTTTGGAAACCAAATGTAAAAGACCATAACTTGGTGTGTCTTGGATAAGACGAAAGCTCAAATGCATTTGAATTAGATAAAAGTCAAAAGAGAGAAAGAAAGTAGCACTTATAGAACCATTACCTCCCTCCCCGCATGGCTTCTGTGGGTTTTGCTTTTGAGTCTAGCAATCAAGCAAAAAGGAAGACTACGAGTTAACGGATATCAATGCCATTGATGGTTTGCTCAATAAAAAGTGAACAAAACTTGCACGTCAAGTAATCATGTTGAGATTCAATGTATCATGTAACAAATGCAAGTTTGTATAGATTGATTACAAAAAAAAGTTTAAAGAAATTTCACAGCCTAAAATGTGAGGAGATAAGACATGCTACTGAGATCAAAATGTAAGGTATAGACATACACATAATGCCTTCTCACAACTAAGAGAAGGCATCATTAACAGTCTATGGAGCATCTTTTTCCAAAAAAATAATAATAAATAATAATTTACAAGGAATATTCCTCTTAAATTCCAAATTAGTAGTTATGTAATTCAGAACTTCAGTTTCCTCTTTCTATTATGCTATTTACACGTTGATTTGCAGAAAAATCTCTATACACATGAATTTCACATTGATAGACTTGCTTTTGGGTTATATTGACATAAATTATCATACTTAACAGCCTTAAAGAACTAAACCAAAATATTGAGAATGACCCATTCGATCATTTTCATCATATGATCCAAAAAACTAGCCATGATTCACAATATTTGAAGCATTTTGCGTGCATAAAACCTCAAAACTAACAAAAATGAAAACCCTGATCCACTGAAAGAAAAAAAAAAAAAAAAAACGGAGAAATACTCATCAAAAAAGAGAAGAAAGGTCAAAGACAGTTCAAAAGCGCAAGACGCATACCAGTCTCGCCCTCAGCAAGCTTGTCAAGCTTTGCCCCCACCAAACGCCTCTCATCCACACCCCCAGCTTTAAGCTCATAAATAATCTGAAAATTCAATAGCAAACGTGAGACACAAGAAAAAATCGAAACACAAAGATAAATGAGAAACAACAAAGACTACAAGATCAATATATTGCAGAGAAGGGGAAGGGAAGAAATTTTGAAAATTACCTGGCGATGCTCCCAATTCCAGACAACCACATGATCCGATGCATCCGCAGTCACAATCCATGGATACGTAGGGTGCGTCTGAATCCGCATGATCTTGTCATTTGTAGGGCGAAAAGCCCTTAACTTCAACATGATTCAGATCTTATGTTGGATATCCTGCCTTCAAATGGAAAAAGCAACATAAGAACCAGGCCTAACTAATCCTAAGGGAAGCACACACATGAAATACTCATTAATTTCACAAAATGAACCCTAGAAGCCATTAACGAAAGCTGAAAAAGGCCTGAGAGCTTATAATCATTGATCAGATAACCTGGATTTAAAGGTCCCCAATGTACATGGTTCAGGTTTAGCAAGAATCATTTTCAGAAAAATGAAAGAGAACCACCATTATTACCAATAAATAAATAAATAAATAAAGAATCACTATTAATGGGAGAGGAAGAAAGCCCAAACCTCGTTTTAAAGATGAAGCTGATTTAGGGGAAGGCTTAACTTGCCCTAAAGGCTAGGTAAGAGCTGCACGGTTACTCTCTCAATAGGCAAAAGCCAAAGAGTTCCACCATTAAGAGAAGTGAAAGAAAGCTCGAGACTCATGAGATCAGAACCTCGAGCATTGGTGAGGTGGTTGAGTATGCATTTCTTCATTTTTTTTTACCACCTGAGTTCCGAATTATATTTGGCTTTTTTTTTTTTTACTATCTGAGTTCCGAAATATATTTGGCTTTTTTTTGTGCGTTTGATAACGGCGAAAACGTGGGAAAGTCCCCGACATTGCCCCGGCAGTGCAACTTTGTGAAGTGGCAGCGCAGGGAAAAAATAGAACTCTCAAGGGTGGCAACGCTGGGAAAAAATACAACTTTCAAGGGCGAGTTCTAAAGAGCTAGAGTGAGTTCCAATTTTATTTTATTTTTAAGGGCTCAAAGTACGTAAATGTAAATCTTCAACTAGAAATTTTAGAACTGATTGATATGCGCATATAGGGATCTTGACTTGTTTTTTAGGTTTTAAAGAAGGTGTGGTTTGTATGGAGCCGAGGCTCTAAACTATCAAAGTAAAACACATTTTTAAATAGAGTCGAGAGTGTAGTTTCAATATGAGAATCTTTGTAATAGCCTTAAAATATATTTTCGTCTTTAATTATAAAATTTAAAGCTTCAAAAATAGTGTAGATCGAGCTGATCTATAAAAACTTGAAAACCTTGAAAATTGATGACCCAAAAATGCATTACAAGATGCACTATTTTCAAAACTCGAAATTCATTTTTTTCTCATTTGATGCATCTTGAGGTTGAGATGATCGATTTAAAGATATTTGAACATCAAAAAAACTTCTCCGAGTGAAACTTTTGAGGTGGGCCGTGATTTGATTATTTAGAGCGTCAAACTTATATGAACTTTTTCCTTTAAAAAATGTTAGGGCGCAAAATAGAATTCTTCTATAAAGTTGGAGAGAGACGGGGTTGGAGAAGGAGTTAAGCTTTGTTGTTTTCAAATTCTTGAAAAGGAAGAGCTCTTCAACATGAGTTCAACGAACCACAATTTTATAATGTTTTCGAATTCTTGAAAAGGAATAGCTCTTCAACATGATTTCACCCAACCGCAATTTTATAAAGAAATGATGCTTCACTTTAATTGTCATGTTTGTGGTTTTCATTTCCATTAATATCTTCCCACTAACCTTTTCAAAAAGCTAACTCTTAAGCTATTTTAAAAAATGCGTAGGGGCATGTCCGAAGGGGGGAGAAGGGGATTTAGGTAGACATGTAGTGCTCAACACTGGAAATCTTGATGGTAATTCAAAAATTGAGTAAATTCGAGTGACCAAAACAAATTAGAAAACCCAAGCAAATCACATGAATTATAATTTCCTACAAACATATGCCAATATTTTTAAATTAAGAAACGTTAAAAAAACGCAAAATTAAATTGTTTCCATGAGCAGTTTAGAAAATCAAACATTTTTGGATGTGCCTTTAGAAAAATTTACATGAATAAATGGATAGGCTGAAAGTTATAACGAACATAGTACATGCTACAGATTTGGAGAATTATTTATACCCTTAAACCATACTTTATAGGCGTGATCCCTCCCATTCTTTTTAAGCCACAATTAACCCAATTATTTTTACTTTCAATTGCTACTCCCTAACGTAGAAAGTAAATTTCGTACAAAAATATCTCCGAATAACTATTGATTTTTGTAGCTACTGCCTAAGGTGGAAAATGAATTTGTTACAAAAATATCCCCATAAATAAATCCACAATTCTCTATCTACAAACTTAAAATTTGAAATTTTAGAGAATCTTCCAATTTTTAGAGAAAAATCATCTCAAATTTTAAATTTTTAGAGAGATAAACTATCTCAAAATCTTTAAAGAAAAAAATTATCTCAAATTTCAAGTAGAAAAGAATTATCTCCAAACCTTTAGAGAGAGTCTGTCTCAAAAAATTTTAAAAAAAATTATCTCAAATTTTTAGAGAAAGAATCGGGGATTTATACATATAGGGTAATTTTATAAAAAACAAAAGAGGTTTTTCCTTTTAAGAGTCGCTGCAAAAATAAATAATAATTGTGCTAGTTGTGTGGATTGAAAAGTATTTGGGAGACAACGCCAAGAAAGTACGGTCCATGACGTATATATAAGTCTCCCTTAAAAGATTAGGAACATATTTTATAATATTCAAAAACCAGATAGAAGCATGTCAGGAATGGAAAGAAATTTTCTCAAAGATAAAAGAAACAAATGGATGTGCTAAAACTCAATAACACAAATTTAGGGTTTTTTTTTTTTTCTATTATAATCTGGGTGGGGCGGTTGGGGAAAAGAGAGAGACGAGAAGCAAATAAAGTTCCTCGATTGAAGAATAAATCAAATAAACTATGGTAATTATAAAAAATATCCATTTTCTCCAAAAATGTGAAAATATCCATTTTTTCTAAACTACATCCATTCCTAGTATCTACGATTTTTTTTTACCTAAAATTCCCTTCACAAACTTGAAAGAGTCGTGAAAAGTCATCACATATAAGCTGTTAACCTCCCATTCCAAACAGTTAAAGATAAATTATATCGAAATTTTTGGAGAGAAATTATCACAATTGTGTGTTTATATATGGGAATATCCTTATCTAAAACAAACCCATTTCCTTTTTGAGAGTGGCTGCAAAAGTAATAGTAATTGGGTTAGTTGTGTGATTTGAAAAGTATTAAAGGGACAATGCCTAAAAACTATGTTCCAAGGGATATACAGAAGTCTTCTTTTGAAAAATTAGAAATATTAAACAAATAAAAAAAAATAGAGACATGATGTCATGCATAGTAAGAAATTTCTGCAAAATTTTAAAAAAATAAATGATGGGCTAAAACTCAATAAAACAATGGGCATGTTTGATTGCACCCAATATCTTGAAATTTTTACTTCATATCAGAAAGAAAGGCAAAAACCAAATATTTACTTTATAAGTACGTTCACTTTCCTTGAACAACTAAGAAAATGAAAAACAATGCAAAAACCATCAAAGAAATAAATCATAGAAAATAGGGTAATTATTAAAAAAAAAATTTCCAAAAATTCAAAAATATCCAATTTTTTAAAAACTATGTCCATGACATTTCACAATTTATTATTTCACCTAAAATGCTATTCACAAACCCAATAGAGCCGTGAAGGGCCATTATGGACCAAATAGGTGCCTAAAAATCCGAGCATCTCCCACTCCAACTTGTTGGTGTGGCCTTAAAAGCATATTGTCTGTAGACCATCATAGTTTTAATAGAACCATGATGGTCATTTCATTTTCACATAACAAAAAAAAGTAGGACATGGGTTTAAGTAGGGAGAATGACAATTCTACTAAGATCGTGATACTCCATGAGACCCAAACCACAATTGTTTTAAGGTCATTGATTGATTACGGACTAGATAGAGCCGTATTTAAGGATCACGGCCTTATCGGGTCCGTAAAGCACATTTTGAGCAAAAATATTAGGGTCCGTAAAGCACATTTTGAGCCAAAAATAAGAAAATAACGACAAAATGGGTATGGATACATAATTCAAAGAATTTGGGTATTTTTTAATTTTTTGGAAAAACGAGACATTTTTTATAATTACCCAAGAAACTTAATAATTCATATTACTTGAAAAAAGGTAAATGGAAATGAACAAATGCAAAGAAGAAATACGCAAAAGCAAAGCCAACCGATGGAAGAAATATTTAAAAGAAACGAAGATACGATAAATCAGAGAAAGTTAAGTTTTACCTTGCGACCCTATCAAGAAAACAAATAGAGATTGAAACCAAGATTTAAGAGTATAAGAGAAGGATTTGATGGACGCATGTTCCAATTGATTAAAACAATACAAAACCAAGACACATGTTCCAATTGAATTTGCAAGAAACAACAATAAAGATGAACGCATGAAACCCAACCCAAAAAATCAATAAGAAAAAAGAAAAAGCAAAGACGAATAGAAAAGTAATAGAATGAAATGCCTCAAGAAGAAGAAGGCTCAATATCCCGAAGACCACAGAACATAGGAAGAGAAACCAAATTATAGAAAGAGAAACCAAACTACAAAGAAGGAAATACAAAATCTCTTTATAGAGAACCAAGTCTTGAATTCTCATTCTCTCTAACTAAGTCTTCAATAGCGGGCATAATGTATTGTATTAGGTGGTTCAGTTCCTTGAGCACAGAAATTCAAGAGATCCAAATCAAACAACTAATTCTCTCTCTCTTACTAGTTTAATGCACGTGCTTAAGCATAAAATACTATATGGAGTTAATTTCAATTTTAAACAAAAGAATAACAAACACAAAAACTATATAAGTTAGTTTCAATTTTAAACAAAAGAATAATAAACAAAAAGACATATGACGATAATTTCAGTTTTAAACAAAAGAATAACAAATAACTATATAGATAGAGTACAATGATCAATAAAATAAATGAAATTGAAAATTAATCCTCTAAAAAAATTTCCATACAAATTTACAAAAATAGAAAGTTTCAAAACCATAAAATATATTTGCGTAAATGAAATTTTAAAATAATAAATTTATTATTTCTTTTTAAATATAGATCTTAGATAACTCTAAATTTACTTAAACGTCAAGGAAAATAAATAGATATTCAATGATATATATTATAATAAAATTAAAATAACAAATAAGACTAGACAAATACCAAAAACCATACAACATAAAAACAATATGATAGTAATAAAAAATTTACTTAAAATTAATATTTATCTTGTCCTCTCATGCCCTAAAATATTTAATATACTTCTTTAGTCTCCTCTAATATCCTAACATATTTTGTCCATTACAGTTTTAGTTCGCTAAACATCCTTACCTCCAACTTTTCTATGGTTTTTAAATTTTTTTAAATTTTTTTCGTTTTTTTTAATTTAGCCTCATAAAGATGCTTGAAAGACTTTTATAATACAAAAAAGGGGAAAATAAAATTCATCACAATACAAGTATTCCAATATCCTAACATATTTTGTCCATTACAATTTTAATTCGCTAAACATCCTTTCCTCCAACTTTTCTATGGTTTTTAATTTTTTTTTCAATTTGTTTTCGTTGTTTTGAATTTAGGCCCATAAAGATGTCCAAAAGAATTTTATAATACAAAAGAGGGGAAAATAAAAATCATCACGATACAAG